CTACTGACAGAGAGACCACGTAGACCCAAGCACTTGGTCAGAACAAAATTCCATGTTCATGGGACAGTGGAGAGGATCCAAGGTAGAATACTTTGACTGACTTCAGCGTTTACGGAAAGAGCTTGTCAGAAGCTGCCAGTTAACCAAGAGAAATGTACAGAGTAGTCTTTCATACAAATCTATGCTTTAAACACATACAAAGCTTTTTTTCCCCCTCAGTCCTACCATCTTGTTTGTTTGTTTTTAAATGAGCTGTTTATTGAACCTTGGCATTTGTGACCTTTATAAGCTTCTACCCTGGCTGATGGCACAAGCCATGTTTTCTAGACTGCTTTGAGGGACATTTCACAGCTTTTGAAGTAAAGGATATGCTTTACTGAATACAACCCAAAATACAATTTGTATTCCTGTTCTGTGGGTAGAAAGTCTCTACGGGCACCGTGCATTTAATCAACCTATGTGTATATAAACCTTCGTGTGGGAAAAATGCATATAGGTGGAAAGGGACGCTACATAAAAACCACAGTCTTGAGATCAAGGGGAAAGAATGAGATTCAGAGACCAAGGCAATACTCTGTTAGACTCTCTGGGGGACCATCAGCAACTAAAAGTGTGCAGGTGAACAGCTGAGTCGCACTAAAACCGTAATTAACAGGGATAGCTGTGACTGTGAGCACGCTGCTAACTGATTTTGTTAACTGCTTTTTGGACACATATCTCTATGCCTTCTGCAACCAAACTTCCCTCTGCTTATAATTTAATTTGTGTAGAGATTGTGCAAGGGGCTTTGAGAGAGACGTCCTGGGTTACCAAGGACCGTGGGATAACAGCAACAGCTGCAACGCTGTAACATAACTAAAGAATTTATTATGACACACAAAAAAAAGGAAAAAATGTTCTTTAGCAGCGCTCTTAGAAAAAACCACAGCTGCATGTCCAACATGTTTACCAGGAACAGGTATTATGAGGAAGTTATGCTAAGGGAAAGTGGTAACATTAGACAAAATCTGTTCTGAACACATCTTCCATCCCAAACATGTCTGTCTGTACATCTTATTCTCAACATCAGTCCTCACCGTGACTAAAATGGAGCAGCTTCTTAAACCTCCTCTGCCATCTGGCAACATTTTCAAAATAATGCCAGTACTGGAAGGGAAGTCACATTCAAAAGGCTGTCTCTGCCTGGGGCAATTCAAACAAAATACCCATGTTTATCTGATCAAAACTGCCTGAAGTGTTCAGATAGGCTTAACTCACATCAACAAGAAACATAGAGCAGTCACACTTGTGCCTAACCTTTGTGGCACACTCTCACAAAGTCATAGCACAATTGCCCGTTCCCTATCCTTTTCTAGACTTTAAAGCTGGAACACTCTTTCACTGTCACCTGCAATGCCACTTCACAGCTTGTATTTTCCATTCTGAAGAGACCCTGTAGACAAACAACAACTTGTAGAAATGCAGCAATGTGGAGTAGCCTCCAAATGGGAAATAACAGAGGAAATACAGCTGGTGGACAGCCTACGACCAAGAAATAGATCGAGTGTCTGAATCCACCTGTGCCTAATATCAAGTCAGCTGTATTCAGTATAGTGAATTTCAAAATGAGCTCTGTAACCTAATCTACAGAATTCTTAAAGGATTTTCTTCAAGAGCTAGACCTGGTTCTTTTTTTTTTTTTTTAAATAATGTTTTCCATGGAGAGCTAAGGCTAGACTTTTGTTTCATCAAGGCTCCATATTATATTCCACTATGCATCTGCAGTAACGAGCTTCCTAGATTTATGTGAAAAACTCCCTGTTGTGAACTTTTAGGTCCAACATAGCAATTTGTTAGTTAATCAACAAACATCTGAGAATCTGACAAGCATAATTACTCTCTGTTCCATTTGAAAAGCCTGAGGTAAGAGAAAGTGATCAAAACTTTGATGCGATATCTTACATCTGTCTGAGGAAGTACTAGATTAAAATAAAAACAAGTGATTAAGCATCAGCTTCATGAAACCTCTCTAAAGCAAAAGCTGGGGAAAAAAAAACAGTTCCAGAAAGAAATAAAAATGACTCTTTGAACCACTGTCACACACTGTACAGAGAAATATGGCATTTATCATAGAATCACAGAACTATAAACAATCACAAGAGTGTTTGCTCTCAGATACAAAACAGTATTTTCCTAAAAGCAAATATCTGTTTATGAGACAACAATGAACTTTTTATGGGATTTCTGATCAACTTGTTCTCAGCTTATTTTAATAGTTAATTTCATGCCAGAGGTGCACATTCAGCTACAGACTCATGTGCTGGATATGAGTTAAAGTAAAAGCTCAGGTGTGCTTATTTCTTATATAAACACGCTAAACTCCAAAACCTAAACCAGCCCCAAAAACACCCATTTCTGAACATCAAACCACAGAACTCAACAGTATTATCAGACTAGACACAAATATTTCCTTGAAAAATTATCTGCATATATAGTTGAATTTCATAACTGTAAAGTTTGTTTCTTATATAAATTACTAGTGGTTTTTAAATTCTACCTCCTCAGGAAAACAGTTTTTTGCATGTTGAAAATAGACAAGAGGCTTTTTTTTTTTTTTTAAACAAGAAAAGCTTTCAGTTGTATTGCACTAGTAATCAACTTAAATTAAAGGCAGATTAAAATTTTCAACTTAAAATTTCCTTAGGAATTTGCACCACTCAGTCACACAAATGATGCAACGTGCTTTACTAGGGAACTTTTCATCCAACCATTTTCTCTGAGACTATTTTCGGTCTCACCACTGAATTCCCACTCAGATTTTGGTTTGTTTCTGAGGAGACTTCTCCCTTTCTTTGTCCATAGGAAAAAAGCATTAAGAATAAGCCATCTCTTTTACAATTCACACTGTCACCAACTACAGGCTTTGTGAAATGTTATTAGAACACGCCAGTGGCTGAAAGTTTGTCATCAACAGCTTGAGTTAGGAGAGGACAGAGCTCACCTGGACTGTTCACTCACTCACCTAAGGGTTCTGCTGCCAGTCACAGAGCCAGCAATCCTGCAGTTCCACTATCACAACTGACTGTGTCTCAAGCTGTGAACTTCAGCCAAGTGAGACACCAACAACTTGTTTGTTACTCACTACTACGGCAATTAATTCTAACAAGCAGCACTCTACATGTGGATACATCAATCAAACATGGGAGCCTGCTGGGATTATCAGAGAAAGCTTTCACTGTCACAGTGTAAAAACACCACCTAAAAAATTAGAGCATTTATTCACCTCAACTAGTGGTGACAAATGATGTCACATTTGTACATTTCCAAATTAACTGGTATCAAGAACAGAGTAACAGCAAATACTATGCTTCAGAATGGTAATTAAGATCAAGTTAATAGTGGAGAGAAGCGCTGGCTGCTTTCACAAGACCATAGCAGGTCTGGATTCTGCTCCCAGCTGTGCAACTCACTATCCAGTGACTTCAGTGCTCATGCCTGTCTGGGGAACCATGACATTTCTCCCACTGCCAGAAGTCCTTACATTAACTCAAGCAGAATGCTCTGCACAGAACTCAGCTATTCAAAGGAAACAGAATGGATGTGGGTCATTTCAAATGAGTCGTGTCACATTTCAGACCTGTATCGTAATGTTTTCAAATCCAAAGACATATCTCATCTTTAGGGTCGACAGAATAAGAAAATAAGAATGCACACATGTAGAAATTTTCTAAAAAATTGCCTTTACAGATCAACGTCAATATCAGCATTTAAAAGAATGGGAACTTTAAAAGTATCCTTTAAACACTGCCTCATTATTGTTATTCTATTTTTTTTTTCTTTTCCTCGCAATGCCTGTTACTGCTAGCCAGCCAGTTTCATCTTCTAGTTTTCTTTCACAGTCACAGTTAAAAGGTGTTTAGACTTGCCGGAGTCACTTTAGTACTTAAGGCTCAGTGCTCTTCCCACACATTGGAAACTCATAAAGCTGCACCTGTATTTCACATTTACACCACACCAATAAAAAGATGACCAACACTGGCCATGAAAATAAGAAAAAAAGGCCCTCTAAAAATAAATGCATGCATCATCTTATGTATAATCAAAGAATATTAGAATATTATAATCACAAAATAAACAAGAGAGTTAGGCAAAGCAGACTATTACACTGTGGTGTAACCAAGGTGTTACAGCTGCTCTGTGACTGACATTAAGCATGTTTGGGACTGGGTGCCTACTGATTACTGTTTCCATTTTTCTGCATTACAATTATGTTACTGGAGATAGGGCATAAAAAATAAGAAAGAGATCTGCTTCAGACATGAGAAAGAATGTGGCTGTATAATCAAAGAATATTAGGATGCTATAATCACAAAATAAACAGAGTTAAGCAAAGCAGACTATGGTAACAAAAGAGAAAAAAATGGAAGGCTTACCCTTATCCTGGGCTCACCCACAAAACACCAGAAGGAGAGATCTCTAGAAGAGATCCTTCCTCACTGGTAGCCAGCTCTTAAATAGGTCTAGGAGGGGTGCAGCCATGCAGCACAGGTGAATTGCCTTCACCTGTGCTCCTCTGGCTGCCTCATGGCTCACCTCAGGTGATCAATCAGAGGTTCAGGCCATGACCCAGTAATTCCCATACATCTTATCAAGCAACATAAAACACAGTAGGCATTAGAAAGTGAATAAATTTATTCATTTTAGCGTGAAATGAATAAATTTATTTGCCCATAAATAGCAAGACACAGGGTTGGAATCCCTCACAGACATTTCAAATCATTGTTAAGAATCTGTTTACTACTGCTTAGGCTTTTCATTAAAATAAATTACCTGCTGTAGAAGAAACAAATTCATTGATAGAACTCAGCGATGTCACCGGCCAAACCCTCATCCTCTCATTCCTACTCCCCATAACTAATCTCTCAACAGACACCACCATCTTCCTTGTCAACTGCCATTTCATTTTCAGCATTAAAATATAGCACAATTCTGATAGAATATAAAGGAAACATGGAACATACGATGGACAGAGGTATTGCTTCTTTTTTCCCTTTCCTTTCTTTGAAGACTTCTCTTTGGAATAGACTTCTTCCACCCATAAGGAGAATGAGACAAAGAAGAAAACCGCTAGCAGGAACTTCATCTTGAAGATTAGAGTTCAGAGAAATGTTTGGTCTACGGCAAAAGAAAATAAATAGGTTTACGTAAGTAAGGTTATATAGGGCAAATGAGAACACAAGTACAGAAGGTAAGCAAGTATTTCATTAAAAATATCTATCTATATAGGGGTGACACAGTGGAACAGGTTGCCCAAGGAGGCTGTGGATGCCCCATCCCTAGAGGCATTTGAGGCCAGGCTGGATGTGGCTCTGGGCAGCCTGGTCTGGTGGCTGATGACCCTGTACATAGCAGGGGAATTGAAACTAGATGATTGTCCTTTTCAACCCAGGTCATTCTATGATTCTATATTTCATCTTAGCTGTCATGGGAGAGAGTCTGCTGAGATGTGAATCTGATATTAAACTAATTTAGGTAATTCTCTGAGCATCAGATAGTTTCCTAAAGTTAAAAGAATCACAGCCAGAAACAGATTTAAGTGCAAGATAGCTTCAGTGTAGTTAAAACATAAATGAGACAACCTTCAAAGGGGACCCAACTCAAAATCCTCAGAAACCTGGTAGGAGAATTCATCTCCAAAAATACCACGTATTAATTGCATTAAACATGGCCAAATGTGACCAACCAGTCATTTACCAAGACAGAGAACTGAGAGCACTAGGCACACGTAAAAAAAAACTAACAGTTTCAATAGATCAGAAAGGGCCACGCTTTCGATCTCACAGATGGAAACGTAAACATCAGCGACTATTTTGCAAGGACTCCAGACAGAGTCAGCACTAAACGGGAAGCGTAAATGCGCCTCGAGCACAACGCAGAGGGTTCAACGTTATCCCACCGCGTTCCATTCGATGCGGGGTCGGGCGGGACCACCTGCCCAGGGCCGCAGCCACTCGGCACCCTGGGTGTGTGCTATTTTCCATTCCTCGGCTCCTTCTAACGCCACCTCCTCAGGCCGGAGACCTCACGGTTCCCTCAGCACCAGCTGCACTTCCCACTTATTCAGTTACCCGTAACGCCGCCTCTCCCTCACCTTCCGGAGGGTCATTTCCATCCCCTCGCAAAGCCACTCGGAGCACCGACGGAGGGGCTCCGCCGGCCGCAACCGAGCCCGACGCCCCCCTCTGCTCGGCCCGGCCTCGGGCAGCCCCCACCCCCGGCCACCCGCCCGGCCCCGCCGCCGCCGGGCGCCGGCCAAGGTGCTGACAGGGCCGCCGCGCCGCCCCACCCGCGGAGCCTCCACCGGCGGGGCCCACGCGGCCGCAGCCCCGCGCTCACCGCCACGCACGATCGCGTCCGGGCCGGAGCCGCCGCCGGTACTCCGCGCTCAGAGCCGGCGGCAGTCGGAGAGCCGGCGGCGCGGCATGGCGCGGAGCGGAAGAGCGGCTCCGGCCAGCGAGCCCTACCTCCGGCGGTGCTCCGCGGCCAGTGAGCATGTGCGGAGCGACTGCGCGGCGGCCTCGCAGTGAGCATGTCCCGCCGTCCGCACATGGGCACTGCGCGGCCGGGCTCGGGAGGGAGGGGAAGGGGCTGGTGCGCTATTGCCTCTGGCTGATCGTGCTCTGCTGCTGCACGGGATGCGCAGTAGCGGGACGGTGATGATGCAGAGGGGCACGGAATCACAGAACGGCTTGGGTTGGAAGAGACCTCAAAGCCCACCCAGTCCCAACCCCTATGCGGGCAGAGCTGCTCCCCACCAGCTCAGGCTGCCTGGGGTTCCGTTCATCCTGGCCTTGAGTGCCTCCAGGGATGGAGCATCCACAGCTTCTGTGGGCAGCTGTGCCAGGGCCTCACCTCTGCGTGAAAGCTTTCCTCCTAAAATGTAACCTGAATCTCCGCTCTTTTAGCTTAAAACCATTCCCTTTTTTTCCCCCTATCACTGTCTGCCCATGTTCATCCTTGCTCACTCTGTGTTCTCTGAAGCAGGAGCTGTGCTTATGCTTCGTGCTTATATTACAGACAGGCCTTTGGCCCAAATTTTCAAGCAGGCAGCGACTGCTGTACAGTCAAGTAGCCCTAGGTCATCAAATGTCCACCTCACACTGTAGTTCATAGGCATCGTCTCCCATCTGTCTCATATTCCTTTTAGCAACCAAGCCAGATAAAACTTCCTATGTCTTCCAGTTTGCTTTCCATCACTCAGTATGCACTGCCAGAGCTCCTGTCCATGCTATAATGAAAGAACAGCACAACCTGAAAGCATTACAAAAGCATTTCTATTTTTCTGAACATGTGCAGTGATTGATAAATACCTCCGCACATGCTTTCTGTAATGTCCTGTGAGCCACACCATACTTCTCTGAAGCCTCACTTGACTTTGGAGTACAAGAACAAAAAGTGGAAACAATCACAAGCCTTGCAAATGGAAAAAAAGTGGGCAAATGACCTAATCCGTGTGCCATGCCAGGCACTGAGCAGTGTGTAGGTTTGGTAATACCCACATGCTGGGTTCCCTCAGCTTCACTTTTCCATGGAGCCCTACAATCACAGAACATTCTGAGCAGGAAGGGAACCACAAATACCACCCAAAATCCAAACCCTATGTCTGAGAGCAGTATCCAAATGCCCCTTGAACTCCAGCAGCTTGTGGCCATGCCCTCTGCTCTCTGCCAAAGAGCCTTTACCTAACCACCCCCAACCATCCCTTGATGCAGCTCCAGGCCATTCCCTCAGGCCCTGCTGCTGTCACAGAGAGCAGAGTTTGGAGCCGCACCATGAGGCCTCCTCTCAGCCCTCTATGCTCTGGACTGAACAAATCAATGGGACCTCAGCCATTCCTCATACACCTTGCTCTCCAGACTCTTCACCATCTTTGTTGTCCTTTGGATGCTCTGTAATATTTTTAAGTCCTTCTTATGTTGCAGCAACCAAACCTACATGCAGTGCTTGAGGTGGGGCCAAAGAGCAGAAGGGATAATCTCATCCTTTGCCCGATGCAAATTTACCCTGGGATGCACCCCAGGGTATGGTTGGCACTTCTGGCTGCAGGGACACACTGCTGACTTAAGATAATACTCTGATGATAATTCCATGAGCTTTCTGAATCGGTTGCTATAAAGTATAGTTATATTGCCATAGATGTGTACGTGTGTGTGCATCAACATACGTGCATGCTGTCATACTCAGGTCATCTGAAGGCCACAGGACTCTCAAGATATAGTTTTTAAGCTCAAACACAGGAACTTACAAAATTAAACAAAGCCAAGTTGTTTCCTGAAACAGCAAAAGCCAGAGGCTTCCCACAACACTCTCTGCAAGCAAAAATAGAAGGTAGAGGAAGCTCATTTTTTAAAGCCCTTCTGAAGTTGAACTCAGGAATAGAAACCAAGGTGTTACAGCTGCTCTATGACTGACATTAAGCATGTTTGGGACTGGGTGCCTACTGATTACTGTTTCCATTTTTCTGCATTACAATTATGTTACTGGAGATAGGGCATAAAAAATAAGAGAGATCTGCTTCAGACATGAGAATGAATGTGGCTGTATAATCAAAGAACACTAGGATGTTATAAACACAAAATAAACAAGAGTTAGGCAAAGCAGACTATGGTAACAAAAGAGAATAAATAGAAGGCTTACCCCTATCCTAGGCTCACTCACAAAACACCAGAAGGAGGGATCTCCAGAATAGATCCTTCCCCTCTGGTAGCCAGCTCTTAAATAGGGCTAGGAGGGTGCAGCCAGATTCCACCCCTTCCGGCAGCACAGGAGAATTGCCTTCACCTGTGCTCCTCTGGCTGACTTGTGGCTCACCTCAGGTGGTCAATCAGAGGTTGAGGCCGTGACTCAGCAGTTCCCATACAGTGGTTTGCATTAAGAAAGTATTAGCGTGGAAGGGAAGCACAAGCATCTCCAGTATGCAGTAGTGGCAGCAGCAGAGCAACAAATCATTCCGAGCACTACTGCTGCAGGGCAGGCTCTCTGCACTGAGCTTCTTGCAGCATGGAGCCTGCCTGCTCTGCATCTCATTCTGACACAGAGTACAAAACTGCCTCCGTTGGGCTCGCTGCAAACCATGTGGTGTTTGCAAGTGAGTCCTGCTGCAGCCATAGGTAAACACCTAAGGGTGAGTGATAACTCACCAGGACAAAGCATGAAATAGAAAATAATACCATCCACCCCTGGAGTCGCGTAAAATAAGAGTATGTGGCTGATGTCTTCCTGTGGATAATAAAAGTGGGATATATGGACGCTTTGTTAAACTATCTATCTATGTGTATCTTTGTGTCCTGCACCTCACAAGTAATAGCAAATATTGCAAGAAATATTTCAGTAACTCATTGTTTTTAAATGCACCTAAATGAAATAGGTGTCAGTTCTGCCCACTCTGTGCCTCACTCAGCGCTGCCAGAAGAAGCCAGCACTCTCACTCGCAAGATTCTGAAGGACAGCCCATGTTTCATTCTGGTGCTGCACTGCAGTGCCAGCAGAAATCTTATTAAAGATAAATGAAACCAGTAAATAACAGTTTTATTGTCCAATGAATGTATAAGGCCAATGCCAGCCCTCTCTCTGCATTTACTGCATTATTAAAATACAGGAGTGGACCTGGATATCTTTCCTCTGTGTGCTCCTGCTGCTCTATCTGCTGTTGGGAACATTTGACTGTGCTCATTTCTCTGATTCAGGAGCGATCCCCAGGCATTCCTGATCTTAGACATTATCCTCATCTGTAGAAAACAGTTCCAAACCATAGGTAAAATATAACAATAACTTCCCTACTGAGCAGCCCAGGGACATTAAGAAGCCTTTATTTTGCAATAGTGGAACTTGGAGATCTGGAAATCCAGTAGTCTGTTATTTGAGCACTACAAAATAATGCTATTGCTGTATGAGAATTTCTTTGTCCTTTCCATTCTTTTAGGCTACTTTTTCAAGGTACTGAATTTTGTATAGTCATCTTCCCTATGCACAAGTGTTGCATATAGTTTGTTGCAAACTTAAGATTTTGTTTGACCGATTGATATCACATATTTAGATACTAAGTCCTGAATGTTTTCTAAAGACAGATGGCTGAGAAGAGAGATTCTCTACTGAAGGAAATAAGGAGGAAGAAAGGCTGGCATGAGAGTAATTGCTAGACATCATAAAATCTCCTGGTAGAAAGCTAGTGTAAACTACAAACACAAACATGCCTAATTCATAAAGTATCTGCTTTATTAGAGGAGAAATCACGACTGAAAAACAGAGCTTTAAATGTCAAGTGACAAAATTTTATTCAAGTATTTTTCAAGCTTTTTTCAGGAAACTGAATATGTGTTTTTAAATTCCTAGCAACAGAAGAACCCATATTGTAGCTTTCAGATTAATTCATTTAAAAAACCAGTCAGCCACAAGACCCATATGGATTGTAAATCAGGTTTCATTAGTTTCAATGGTCCCAAAAGTTGTTTTGGTTTGCACAATTAGAAAATATCACTTTATGAAGGACTTCGTGTACTGCAACCTTTTCAGTTACAACTGTTTTTATTTCAGTGTCACTTTTCCAGTGTCACAGAATTCTGAAGGATGCTGGAATCTCTTTCTTCTGCTTTCTTTCTATATAAACATGAATATGTCTTTTACATAAATAAGTGCTTATCTTTGTGGCCTAATAAGATATAATAAATAGGAATCTGGTATCAATGTGGGCCAGGACTGTGAAAGATACATGATTTCTCTCATTCTGACAATACTGGTGCTTTTAATTCCATTTTGAAAAAGACACTTTAAGCAGCAACTCCAGCTCTTGAACAAAATAACAGACAGATGAACAAGCAGATGAATGTTGATGTAATCTATCCTCCTTCATGTTCCAGTCCCTTGTTTCTCTTTGTTACAGATACTGGGCATGACAGATAATTCTGACAGGGTGGAGCTGAATGCTGGCAAATTCAAACTCCGTGCTTTGGTGCTCTAGAATGAGGCTTTTGGGAGAGCTGCACGTGCGCTCTTAAAATTGAATGAAATAGCAATGAGAATTGCGTGTACCTTGAAACATGATATTGCTGGTAAATAAAATAAGGCTTATGTATGTGAGGCTTTATGTATTTAATAAAGAGCTTGTCAGAACAGCAGTGGTACATATTGATTATAATAGACACAATCATACTGATGCTTGTACTTTACAGGAAGTGGCCACGTCTTATTGCTGCTGTATCTATAAAGTTGGGTCATGCAAGATGCCCAAAGCACATGTTCCTTGCAGGCATACTCATTTTATTACTTGAATTTCCAAGGTAGCTGTGGCTTTGCTGACAGATCACATGCAAAGCACTGTTTAACTGTGTGTGTGACATAAGTTATTGATAAAAATGAGTGTACTGCAGCAGTGACCCCAATGATGAGGGAAAAAAAACCAACAACGAAAGAACAGAGTACGT